ACGCAAAGCTAATGATTAGTTGATTAAAATGACTGGAACAAAATTTGGGGTGCCCGAGCTCGTTAGTGAGCTATAGCCATTTTTCAACTGACGGAACTCAATATCACGGGAAATCCGCCATGTTTTCAATGTGCGCGTGCACGAACGCGCGCTAATGACGCCATAAATTATGCGCAGTAAGGATGCGCAATGCAATACTGGGGAATGACCTTAAGATAGCTCAAAACTGTTTCCAGCGTTTAGATTTTGATGGGTCGTTTCAACCACTCTTTATCACTTGATGCTACAATCATGGGGTCAAAAAAACTGCCCAATCATTGGTAAACACGATATTATCATTTTTTTGACACAATAGGTTACCATAGCAGCAGTATGACCTGCTAACACGGTGAAATTTTTTTTATATTATAAAATTTTAATTAGTATAATAAGACGCCACTTTTGGCAAAGTTTGAAAAAATATCTGTTCGTAGGGTTAAGAGCCACTTCAAAGTTTCAAAACTTTATGGTGGCTCTGAACCCCATGATCAGAATATTTTCAAATTTCGTCAAAAGAAAGAGAAAGCAGTCGGCACAAAGTCACCTGACAAAATGGAGAAGTCCCGTGCTCAGAAAGCCTTGAAACTGTTTCGCAATCTGTAGGTGATTATGCCAAGGCTAACGAATACTTTGAGAAAGTACCTTTAATAATGAAAGAAACTGACAACAGAGGCCGGATATTATAAAAGGCCGGAGTAGCGCTAGGGCACCAGCACAGATACCCTCCCGCTGGCAACAGCATGAAGAAAACTTAGAAAACCGCCCAAAAATCAATGCAAAAAGCAGAGCCGAACAAAAAAGTTCATGAGCGGCAATTTATTTGTAGCTCTTGAAAAAAGCTAGAAACTGTTTACAATTACTGGTAAACAATATAAAAAATGCCCGAAAGGACCTGGATCGAGTAATGACGCACTTTATTTTGGTATCTTTTTCATTGTAATGATCGCTGCTATCTCTGGAGACTGGTTCCCATAATCGCAACAATCGCTAGCTCGCTGCAGTTTTGTTCGTTCCCAGGTGATCGCGACCATCGCTGACCTATTTTCCCAGCCATCATATGGAAATTAGCCTTCTTAAGCCATTAATAATTCATCTAGTTTAAACAAAGGAAATCATGACCGTGGCGGTGTTTGGATATCTGAGCTTAATTAGCATAGATTTTACGATTTTATTTTTTCATTTTCTCCTTAGTTTTATGTTAATTTCGATTGAGAAGATGTATTTAACACTCAAGAGAGTGTTTAACCACATTTCCAAACACCTCGAAGTTCGTCAAAAATACTCCTCTACGCGTCATATTTTCAAGCTCTTTTTGGTGTTTGGAAATGTGGTCAAACACGGTCTTTCGTATTTGATATATCACTAAAAGAATCCGGGAAAATTATGATTTGTCTATTATTTCACCTACAGGCGTTTTAGAAAGAGATGCTTGTTCAGTGCACAGATCAATCAAGTGAGTGAAAACACATAGTGAGTCATAGTGTGAAAAAAGATATCACAAAGGAATCAAAACAGTGCCGAGTGGCAGCGCTGACATCAGGTCATATTCATATTCCCGGTATTGGACTGGAACTAGCTTGCAAGCGAGGCTAATGCGGGGAGTCTTTTCAGATGCAAATGACATTTATTTCTTTTTAATGATATTCCCCCGCATGAGCCTTTATTGCAAGCTAGTTCCAGTCCCATACCGAGAATACGAACATGGTCTCTTCTTTGCATTATAGCACTGTCAGTAACAATGTTTATCGTTTATTTAATATGTGCAAAAGTTGTAAATTTATAATACGAAACCTCACCTGTTCGATCACTAACGTTCTCATTATTTTACCTGCAAACTGCAGAACATGTTGCTGTTGTGTTTTGTTAAAAAATATATATTGTATTAGATCATTCTTAAAAGAAGATTATCTTTTAAGCAAGGAAGTTTCACAGCGTGACCGAATTCAGAAAATGAAGCTTTTGTATTGAAACTGAATATAAGCGTTCCTATTTATAGTAGTTTTATTGTTATGAAGATATTACTACTAAACTTTGTTCACATCATACCCTCTACAACTCATACTCTAGCATTGCGGACCTCAATTTCTAAAGTGAGATTATCCGAACAAAAATAATCTTTACATTTCCAGGCTTGTAAATCTGAAAAAGAAAAAAAATGTTGATTTGCTTTCACTTCTTATCGTCTTAAATATGTTTTTCACGCTGCCTTTTTTAAAATTTAAACTGGATTCTATTTATAAAAAATTAATTACCAACAGTCCAAAATAACAATTGTTTTTCCAAAGTTGGTGGCGTGCTAAGCGCACGCAAGGAAGTTATTCTCTACGACTTGGGAGGAAAAACGCGAAACGTAGCCTTTTTTGTCAGTTCTCCCACAGAAGGTTGTGATTTCACAGGCCAGAACACTCTACAAAACATGAGATGCCGTTATCCTTCGGTTCTAGAAACTTCCATGTTGCTTGTTTGGGTAATTTGGCTTCACTGTATCACAGCTGCAACCCAAGGTTAGCGATTTTACGTAACAGGTGTCGACTTGATATTGAAATTGTCTTTACTCTTGGCTAATGTTTCTATAAATTTACACATAAATGTAACCACTAAAGTAAGGCACCGTCCATACTAAGCCCGAGAAATTTGACAACGTCGCTTTATTTCTACGGTTAGGCCTACCGTCCACACTAATCCGTCACGAAAACGGAGCTTGGAGGAATTTGAAAACGCCAGCCTTCCGTTTTAGTGTGGACGGAAAACGTTTTGAAAACGGAGCATTTCGAAAACGAAGACATTACGATAATCCTGTGATTTCTCTGCCCGAGTTTTTCTCAAACACGAATCCAAAATGAGCGGTGATTGTTACATTTTCAATGTCTTCGGCGTAGTGTGGACAGAAAACATTTGATGCGTTTTCAGATTGATAACACCGTTTGCAAATTTCTCCGGCGTGGTGTGGCATGGACGGGGCTAAGAGAGCTGTTACAGAAATTCAAACTGTTGGGACGACTGTGTGAGTTTTTGTTTTACCAACATATCGAACTTTTACTGAGTCGATCGTCCGATTTGTCTGTTAGCGCGTAATTTTAAAGAAATATTTACAGATAACCAAGAATGAATTTACTGTCACTGTTGTTTTTTCGACCCAGAGCTTTGTCGCGAACTGGCTTTCGTGGGTGTTTTTAAAGACAAAGCTCTCAACAAAGGCATCGTCAGAAACGTAACCGTACAAGACGAAGAACTGTGTCAATGGAAGTGTTTTCTGGATGATTCCTGTAAATCCTACAACCTTGGACCACCTCAGGTGGGAGAAGAAGGGAGAAGAGTTTGTGAACTGAGCAACTCTCACCATGTATTACACCCGAAGCATCTAGTGTCTAGACCTGGTTTCATTTACCGTTCCTCAGTGGTAAGTTTATAACACAGAGGCAGTTTCTCGTGTAAGTTTATTCTTCTTGACAGAGCAGTGCGGGAAAGTTCTCAACAAAGTTTGTCATATTAGGAAAGTATTTAGTGAAATTAAAACCACTGGAATGACATTGACGATGCTCTATAGGTCAGCGATAATCTTGCGAAATCGGGAAAAATATTCATGAAATCATTCGTCGGAAAATTTGTGTGAACCACAATTTCATATTGCGTTGGTAGTTAGGAACTGAGACATTGCCTTACGTTGGATTGTTTCATCTTTTGACAGAATCCCTGTGGTGCTCCTTGTCCAGAGAAGCAATCATGTTTGTCTTTTGGCAACGCGGGGAAATATTCCTGCCGTTGTCCAGATTCTGGTTTTACCGGAAGTACCTGCACCGAAGGTAGAGTTGATAGTTTAAATATGCAAAAATTGGCCGTTACAACCTCGGGATCTGATGTGTACCTGATCGTTTCTGATTGATGTGGTTGCAATAGCTTTTCTTTTATTTGGGCAGCGATGTATCAGTTATTGAAAGAAAAGAGTGCATGAATGTCTTGCCACCAACAGAAAACTGAAGTACAGCAATGAAGTATAGCAATTTTGCCCCCTCTAAGTCAGATGGCTTCTGCCAACTTGGACACAACATAGAATGGTTTCACCCTCTGTTGGACCAAGGTCAGTCAAACCCCTTAGTTTTCAAGGGAGAATAGTTATGAAGTTGTCTGAAGCCCTTAGTTTCCACGGCAAACACATCCCATTCTTTTTGCTAAGCGTATCCGTTGTGTTTCTAGATATAGATGAATGTGTGGCTAATACGCATGACTGTGCTGCTGAAGCAGACTGCAAGAACACCGAAGGCTCGTTTATTTGTACTTGCCATGACGGATATCAGGGCGACGGCAAAACTTGTCAAGGTGCGGAAATTACCAAATGGCAAACATTAACACTGATTATTACGCATGATTAAATGCCTGATTAGTTCCTCATTGGTTTTTCTCTCAGACGTTATGACTGAAAATACTTGTTCTGAAATTTCAACATAACGTTCAGTTTCTTTACAAGCTGAGCTACGAATCCCTTGATACGTTGGGAACAGGATAATGCTAGGTTCTAATTTCCTGTCTGTGGAGTACCTGCACTCGAGTATCAAGGCTTCGTGGCTCGGTTGGTAGAGCACCACACAGGTATCGCCGGTAAAGAACATGAGTTCGGATCAGGTTGTGTCCTCAATTTTCAATTTTCGTTAACCGGTACTTGGTCACGCAATTTTCGTTAACCGGTACACGAGGACACAACCTCGGATCACGTTGACGCTTTCATTTTAAAACCCAGTTGGTATATGGGTAATCAAATGGAGACGAGTGAAATTAGAAAATAATTTCACGCGTGTTTTTTTCAAACTGCAAGTGAAATTATTTCTTAATTTTACTAGTTTACCATTTGATTACCTTTTAATATCATGGGTGACAAATTACGCTAAAAAAATAATCGTGGGTTTTTGACTTGTATATCACATCGAAAAATTTTGCGTCAAACGTTGCCATGGCAATTTGATAAATTCGCACGTGAAATCATAAATTAAATCTATAATTCCGCGCCAAAATTAAGGAGTAATTTGTCACCCGTGATATTACTTCTGTAAAGATCGTTTCAGTCATTTTCACCTGTGTATATGCAGACAAGCAAGCATTGACTTACTAACATTGATCACTTGGTGCAGCTATCGCTGATTCATTAAACGTGTGTTATCGTCATAGAAACTAAGATGCATTGTTTGCCAATATTTCCGAACAGATAAAGATGAATGCTCAAGGGACGAACACAACTGTAACTCCGCTAAGGCTTGTGTGAACACGATTGGTAGTTTCACGTGCTCTTGTTCTGAGGAGGAGATCCGGGATGGAGGCACATGCGTTGGTATGAACCGGCTTCTCTTTTGTGTCTATTAAACTAAGTGATAGAAGTTATGGCTAAGCAAGAAAAGTAGGGAGAGGACTAAAAAAATTGCGGTTTGTTATGGTGACGTTAAATTGTTACGAAATACAATGAAATCTGGATTCTCGAACCTCCAAGGGAAAAGAAAACTGGTTAGAAAGATCGGGTAGTTCGAGAGATCGAGGGTAAAACTTAGTGTTGGACTGAGGGAAACGACTTTTGGACCGAGTTATCGGGAGTTTCTAAAAGTCCAGGGTTGGAGAAAACGGTATTTCACTTTATTTCATTGAACTTTCCGTAAAGATATTTCAAGCCTATATTTTGTACGTACTTATGAACAAAGAAGTTAAAGTCAGAGGCGCCACAGCCTGATGGTAAGCGTCGCGGTGGACTCTGAGGCGAGCTGCGCAGGTTCAAGGGTTTACTGCACCATGTCACTGTGTTGTGTTCATTGGCTTAACTCAGGGTGCCTTTCTCCACGCACGAGTAGAAATAAGAATACCGTAGATGTGATCGCTAGTATTCCTTTCAATGGGTAATGCTACAGAATCCAGGATGAGATTCGAAGGTATCCATTTTGCACCTAGCCGGTACAGACTCAAAGGTATTAATCGATCGTTTGCCAATTTGTAGGCTTTCCTTTCCACTGGACGCTCAATGGTACGGACAGACTTCTCAGGTAAGAAACGCATTTTTTAAAGGGTAAAATCGGAAAAACATTTGCTGAGTGTATGACCCCTGACCCCTCTGATCTAGACGCTCGCGCCAGCGGCGCTCGCCACCCACGCTGATGGCGTCGAAAGTCATTGAAGTGTACAACCTAACTCCCCTTTCAGGAATTCCTGGATCCGCCCCTGTGTTACCGTGCTTACATCTGAAACATGTACAAATAGGAAAAAAAAAACGTTAAGCTCAACTTTTCTCGCAGGTTAAGTGCGACTGCAAAGTTCGACGGTCAGGACGGGATTACAGTTCTGAAACTCGATGGCAAGCCATTGTCGTACGCTGAAACACCAGCTCTTCCAGTCCACAGCACAGACCTGACTATTGCCGTGTGGATCAAGCTGTTGGGGATACAAGGGAACCGTCAGCTGATTTACGGTGATTGGCCGGCTAGTCAGTCATTCGGCTTGGGCATTGATCCTAATGGTAGACTCTGTTCCGGTGCATGGAGTGCTACCGGTAATGTACCTGTTTTTGCATTTTGCCGGAGGTAAGCCAGCTGACTCGTATACATGTACCGTATGTCATAAATAAAATAAATAAATAAATAAATAAATAAATAAATTACAATATTTAGAGAGAAAGCCACATCAGCCTTAGCTGGTTTTCATGCAAGTCCTCTATCCTGGTGGAATTGGAATTTGAATATATTGTCTTTGTGGAGGGAGAAAAAACGGAAAACCCGATGAAAAACCCTCGGAGCAACGCAGGAACGAACAAAAAACTCAACCCACATATGGCACCGGGACGGAATCGAACCCGGGCCACATTGGTGAGAGGCAAGCACTCTCACCACTGCGCCACAAACTCTCACCACTCGATCACAAAAGTCTATTTTCAACTCAGTAGTCAAGCAGTTACTGAAATTGAGGAAAGTGGGTAGATTGTAGATTCTACGGGCAGGACGATGCGAGGGAGGACTTCGTCACAGGCGTTACGCAGACAAAACTGGAGAATGCATAAAGAGACAACAACGTAACGTCCCTTTGAGGCAATCATATATACAGGTATTTGGCCCGGGATCTGTTCGTCGAAGATTGAAGTTCCTGTAGCTTCGTTCTCAGAAAACAGCTCGCGTCTCGGAATGGATGGTGCCCGCGGACAAATGTCCGTGTATATTTTCGCCTCAAATGGTTCTTGTACTCAAGGCTGCATTATTTTGGGAAACCGCGGATCAGGATTTATGGTTCAAACCAAGAGATTACCAAGGTAAGTACCTTGATAATCTCTTGTTCAAACTCATCTCCTGTTACCTGCCTCAAAGGAAACATTACTGGACGAGCTATATACCGTTAAATTTTAATAATCTGGCTTAAATATTCTTAAATTTACTAATGACGGAATTGGCTCCCCCCCCCCCC